TGTGTAGAAGTGTCTTGTTACACTTTATATGCGGAAGTGTGGGAGGTGGCACTCTTATTTTGACTGACAAAGCAGAATATTTCCATCACTGCACATAATGTACTCAGCCATCTCCCTTTTAAACATCATTCGCACATAATGGATTAATTTCAAGATGAACAATATAATCCAGGTGGATTGGTTGTTTTGCTTAAATGATCTAATTTCAGTATAGATATGTAATACAGCTTTGTGTTGTGTGTTTATGGTTGGATTCATTTCCATCAGTTCATTTTCCATTGCATTCCAATCAGCAGAAAATGTTGATGGTTCTTTAAGAGATACTGCATATTATGACATTATGCAACTAAAGTAAATAGTGTTCTTTGCACGGCAAAATATATATGTATTTACTGATTGTTACTGAGCATGGTGCACATACAAGGCAGATAAGATCTTGAGTGAAAATATTCTTTAATGTGCTCATGGCATGCTCATTTCCAGCCATTTAATGTTTAATCTTCCTCTAGATTCTCTTTGCACCCATCGTAACTACAAATAGTCTGTAATTATTTCAGAATGATAAAACCAGAGTCTCTTTCTAAAAATGAGAGGATAGTCGTGTCATAGTTGTACACCTCCTGCTGCTGTGTTGCATTGAGAGTGGATGGCACAATGAACCACAAACATATTAATTAATTTGAATTTCTCCCCCATAGACAGGTAAACAAGTCAAGGTCAAGGTCAAAGGTCAAAGTGTTTATTTGTCATATGCACAGTTAGGAAACATGTTTCCCTGTACAGTGAGATTCTTATTTTGCTGTCCACATGAATGCCACACAATACAAGTGAAATATAAAGTAGATGAACAATAACACAAATCTAAATAGACAGTAACACAAATCTAAGGCACTTTAAAGCAGCAGGTGAAGGGAGCAAATAAAAATACAACAAGAACACAATATAATGCAGAGAGAAAATATGCTACGTGGGAGCCGTGGAGTGTAAATACTCAGCAGTGAGTGTGCAATTATGCATGTGTAAAATGACCGGAGGGTAGGGGTATAAACAGTCCGTGCTGGGGGTGGGTGGGGTCCTTGAGGATGGAGGCACGTTTCCTATGCAAACAACTGTATATGTACTGATGAAAAGAGATGTGTAACACTCTAAACAAAGTGGATAATTGAGAAACCCCATATTTTAACTGGCACAATGCAGACATAGTAACATTTCCAGCCTTACAACAATTCTGTCTACCATTACAGAAACAAGGCATTAAAAGACATTCAAATTCAAATTCAAATTTTATTTGTATAGCGCCAAATCACAACAAAAGCCATCTCAGGACACTTTACAAAGTAAGGTCTAGACCTTACTGTTATCAATATTATTACATAGGGAAAACCCAACAAATCCCCCTTGAGCAAGCACTTGGCGACAGTGGGGAGGAAAAACTCCCTTTAACGGAAGAAACCTCCGACAGACCCCGGCTCTTGGTGGGCGGCCTTCTGCCTCGACCGGTTGGGGTGAGTGGATAGAGGAGAGACAAAAGAAGAAAAGCAACAAGACACAACAATCAAACACTGATCAGGTCGATGTGGCTGGTGACTGCTCGTCAGAGACATAGAGCTCCAGGGCCAGGGCAACCTGCAGAAAGGTACAGGGAGAGAGAGAGCCTAACTATAAGCTTTATCAAAAAGGAACGTCTTAAGTCTAATCTTAAAGGTAGAGAGGGCGTCTGCCTCCTGAACTGAGACTGGGAGTTGGTTCCATAGGAGAGGAGCTTGATAGCTAAAGGCTCTGCCTCCCATTCTGCTTCTGTGGACTCTAGGAACCACAAGTAAACCTGCACTCTGAGAGCGAAGTGCTCTGTTAGGATGATAAGGCTCTACGAGGTCTTTAAGATATGATGGAGCCTTGTCATTAAGGGCTTTGTATGTTAGGAGAAGGATTTTGAATTCTATTCTGAATTTTACAGGGAGCCAGTGGAGAGAAGCTAATATGGGAGAGATATGATCTCTCTTGCTAGTTCCTGTCAGTACTCTGGCTGCAGCATTTTGGATTAACTGGAGGCTTTTTAGGGAATTATTGGGACATCCTGATAGTAAAGAGTTACAGTAGTCCAGCCTGGAAGTAACAAATGCATGGAAAAGTTTTTCAGCATCACTTTGAGACAGAATGCTCCTGATTTTTATGATACTGCGCAGGTGAAAGAAGGCAGTTTTAGAGACTTGGTTTATGTGTGATTTAAAGGACATATCATGGTCAGAAAAGACTCCAAGGTTCCTCACAGTAGTACTGGAGGTGAGAGCTATGTCATCTAGAGAAACTATATGGTTAGACAGCAGATTTCTACGGTTTTCAGGTCCAAGTACAATAACTTCATTTTTTTCTGAGTTTGGAAGTAAGAAATTACAGGTCATCCAGGCCTTCAAGTTTTTAAGACATGCTTGAAGTTTAACCAACTGATCTGATTCATCTGGGTTCATAGATAAATATAACTGAGTATCATCTACATAGCAATGGAAATTTATGCTATGTTTCCTGATAATATTGCCTAAAGGGAGCATGTATAAACTGAAGGGAATTGGACCTAACACAGAGCCCTGTGGAATGCCGTGACTAACTTCAGTCTGCACAGAAGATTCATCGTTAACATGAACAAATTTGAAGACATGCAATTTGTGTTTTTTAAGCTTACTGTTAAGTCCCACTGAGTAGTGAAAATATCACTCCCTTTCAAGTACCTCCAAGGCCAGTAAACCCAACCGGTGGTCGCTGTGCCGTCCCCCACACAACCACATACATTCCCAAAGTAGTGAAATTAATTCCAACAGGCAGTGTAGTACCGACAATAACATCATGGATCATTAGAATCCTCTCAATAACCGCAGCACATCACATGCAGCAGACACATCCTGATAAGATGCCTGAACCGCCTCAGCTGGCTCCTTGCAATGTGAAGGAGCATAGGGTCCTTTCCAGATGTCCAAGCTCAGCACCTTATCTCTAAGGGTAAGTCTGGCCAACCTATGAAGAAAACTCATTTAGACCACTTGTATTCGCAATCTTATTCTTTTGGTCACTACCCACAGCTTGTGACCATTAGTGAAGGTTGGAATGTAGACTGACTGATAAATTGAGAGGTTTTCCTTTTGGCTCAGCTCCTTCTTCACCATGACAGTCTGGTACAACATCCACATTACTGCTGATGCTGCCCCTATCCAGCTGATAGAAGAAACATTGTAACATGAAATCCAAATAAACCCAGTAAATGATTGGTTTGGGCCTGTGGCTGGAGAAACAGAAACCAGAAGAGTGCTCAGGAGCTGGTGACTGTAGATTCCTCAGTGATTACAGGCAGGGTTGGTGATCCTGGAAAAACCAGCAAGAGGAAGCGTTAAAATTTTGAAAGTAGACAACTGAAGAACTCTCACCCTTTCGTTTGGACTTCTCTCCAAAGCCACTTCTTCAAAACACAACACACACTGCAACATGCACTGCCTGACTACTACTTACAGATTTCAGGAAAATAACATAACAATAGTTATCTGTCCAGCAGAAATACGGCCACCGTGGCGTAACCTTTCAGCCCCTTTTGTTCTCTCAGTTCTCGCCATTATTCAAAAGCCACACCAAAGTTAATTCTGGTTTTACTTCTTGCAGCATTCCCCTTCTTTTTAGTTGTAACTTTCTCAGATATGGTGTTACCCACCCAGATTGGCAGCAAAGAACTATAGTTGGGGACCCCTGGTTCATGGCTAAACTGATTTAGCCCTGGCTTGTAGCCAGTAAGTAACCTTAGAAGTCCAGGCTTTTCTGGTGGGAGCTCACTAGCTTTAGCTATGAAAACAGAGCGGTATCACATCTGTCTGCAACTGCAATACCTTGTGGGAGACGCTTGGCTTGCGTATTGAGTGCACGGCCAGAGTGCACCGAAGTAGGAAGGTGGCTGACAGGTAGGCAGGCCATTCAATGGTTTTGCTTGGGGTGGGTAAAATTATTGGTCAGGCTTTTTTCAGCCCTGCCACAAATAACAGCTTTTCTTCTTTATGCTGTCAGTGCATTTACTGAGCTACAGTATATTTGCATGCAAAGTTGTTGGAGGAGCAATGCAGCTACAGTATGTGATTGCTTTCTGTTTGTATGGGTGTGTGTGTGTGAACAGTGAAAGGTTGTGGGTCTCAGTGGATTTCCTGTTGTTTGAGGTTGACAATCAGAACTGAAATAGCAAAATAGAAAAAAAAGAGACCACTGCCATATTGATGCAAACACAATCATAGTCAGCTCAGTACCTTTATTTTGCAGAGAAATATGTCTGATTGTCTTATATTAACCAAATCATCCATTTCATCATTGACTAATCCTTTAAAATCTGTGAAATTATTTAATCTCTACCATAGTCATAGCATTGATGTTATAATTTCTATTAGTATCAGCTGCATCTTATCAGTTATGCAGTGATTGTTTCGGCTTTATATGCATGTCTGTATTTATGACTGGCTGACCTCCTCCGGAGCCTTCAGGTGATCCCTGTGGCACCAGATAAAGAGGGCACACACTGACACACTAACACACACTTGCGAAAAATGTGACACAGTTATTCACGGAAACCCAAATACTACTGTATATAAGCATCACTTGTCTTGCAGAAACCAATCATCTTCAGTACATTTGTGGAAGGAAGTGAGAAGATGACAGTAATAGATAAAATAAGAGGCTTAGACACAAAGAAAGACAACACTGTGTGCTCTGCTTCCTGGGGATTTGTCATCATTATGTCTTATTATAAAGATGTTATATAATGTGAATTATATGAAACATGATGCACAGAAAGATAATACTGAAGATATATTTGTTAGCACGTAATATAAAACTGTTCACACTCATCGCCGACCTACATTTGTAGCACTTTAATGAATCAAATCGCATCTGATTCTGACAAAAATCACCACTTTGCAAGAGGATGAGGGGTGTGAGAGTTTATAGAGATCAGGGGTACTGGGGGAGGCAAGAGGGGGATGGCCATTACTGGCAGTGATCAGGGCGAGAGTACGTTACCGGCAGCTATCCTTTATGAGTGAGACAGAGAAAGATTCACAAAGAAATGACATGAAAGAGGGACAGTCACTGTGAAAGAGAAGTCAGTAAACCACTTAAAAGGACTCTGAGGTTGACACCTTCATATTCTCTGCCCTTCCCCTTTTGCAAATATTCCATGTCCTCAGAAGATACTTATTTTGTTCTTTGTTATTAAGAGTGGAGGTGTTTGAGAGGAAAATACCTTTGGTTTACTCTGGTCACGCAGCAACTGGGGAAGTACAATATAAAGCTCAAGTTCTCACAGTGGGATTTACTTTCCTTTATACTTCTTGGGTGTAAAAATATTCATTCATTAAAGTGCAGTTTGGCTTGCATAACATCTACAATGACAACCTGTGTTCTATATACAGGTTTGGAACGAGTATTGTTGAAATAAGAACAATTAAAAAACAATTATTTGATTAATGGACAAATGTATTATTCATTTTTCTGAAATTGTACTGCAGTGCCATGTGTTTTATTGACTGTTTGTGTGAATAAAGGAATATGAGGTCATGAGTTCTACATTTGGTCTACATTTTCCTCAAAAAAAGACTCATTATTTGGTCAGCTGTCTTGAACTGTGAATTTTAGCTTTTCATCACCTGCTTAGCTGCTACATGAAGAATATTTGTGTTACTGAGGATCCCGTATCTTTGAATTGATTTACAGTTACAAGCTTAACTCCTTTGCTTCTATGTTTAGCCCATTATTTCCCACTCTTTGCTCAGGTGTTTTGTTCTTCTTTAGTCTAGTATCTGAGTGTGTGAAGAACCACTTGTGCAAAGAAAAGTAGGAGAGGGCTGCATTTTGAAAACGTTACCATGTTAAAGGTTTTTATTTCTCTGTGTTTGTTCAGCCCAGATTGAAGTTATCCCATGCAAGATCTGTGGTGATAAGTCCTCTGGAGTGCATTATGGCGTCATCACCTGTGAGGGCTGCAAGGTGAGATGACAGCAACACACACACACACACACACACACACACACACACAAATTGCTTATATACTGTATATACGTATGCGGTAATAAGACTGATATCTGTCCTTTCAGTATAAAGCTTCAGCCACCTTCCCATTAGCTTATCTTAGTTTAGCTTAGCATAAAGACTAAAAGCGTGAGGGAACAGATAGCCTAGTTCTGTTTGAGGCTAAGTATCCAGCTACCAGCAAAACTAACAAATGAACAAGTTATATATAGTTTCTTTAATCTGTAAAAACTTAATTGTAAAATGTTTGTTTTACAAAGGGCTATGTGTTAGACTTTTTCTGTGCTGGGTGCAGTTACTTGGGGTCTGTGCTGGTTGCCCAACAAGGACAACTGTTTCCTCCTACAGTATAAGCTAAGATCACCCTGCTGCTGCCTCCAGTTTTTTGTTGAACAGACACATAACCTAATGTAGCGATCTTCTCACCTAGTCCTAACAGATAAGCATTTTCCCCAAAATATGAGTTTTTAGTCATTATAGCTAGATAAATACCGGCCACCATTATCTTATTGCAGATATTTTGATAATAACGGCTGATAAGTAACAAGAAATGTTAAAGAGTCTGAGGTGATTTGTTGCCATAACATGGCTTGTTCATCAAAGAGCACTGACAATGTAAACTCTAGTTTCAGCTGTAAATCACACATACTGTAACTTGATTTAAAAATGTTGTGTGTTATATGTTTATGTACATATTGTTATCAGATTTACATTTATATATCTGCCTCAGGGGTTTTTCCGGCGCAGCCAACTTCCCACTGTATCCTACTCCTGCTCCAGGCAGAGTAACTGTCAGATCGACCGGGCCAGCCGCAACCGCTGCCAACACTGCCGTCTGCAGAAATGCTTGGCACAGGGCATGAGCAGAGATGGTGAGGCACAACCAAACAATGATACACAGACAGATCGGTTTTATTGTTGATTCAGAGTGTTTACTTATTTATTTATGTGTTTATTTTTTGTCATTCCAGCAGTGAAGTTTGGACGAATGTCCAAACGTCAGCGGGATTCTCTGATTGCTGAAGTGGAGAGGCACCGACAGCAGCAGCAGCAGCAGCAGCAACAGCAACAGCTTCAGGGAGACACCCAGTCTGTGTTGTCCTACTCCTCTAAAGCCCATCAAGACCGCTCCACCCAGCTCCTTCAGCCCATGACCTCAGCCTATTCCTTCAACGGGGAGGCTGAGCTACTGTCCTACACTGATGTTCACCCTTACTTTGGGTGCTCTCCGAACGAGTCACAGATGTCAGAGATGATCTATCGAGACTCCGGTGTTCCTCCCACATCTCGATCCCAGGGGAGAGGGGACAACAGTGGACACCCTGACATAAGAGGTGAGGCACTGATGTGTGAGCACAGTTCACTCTGTGCAGTCCTCTTCATCCTCCTGTCCTTTTGTTTTATTGGTTTATTTTTCATGGCAGGACTTGATTCAAGACAGCCATCTCGTGATCTGATGGCAATTCATCCCTATAACCCTTTGGAGGATCCTTACAGTCTTTATCCTCACTCTCTGCGAAACATAGGTGAGCAATCAGAATAGTAAGCTAACGTGCATGTAACTGTGTTATATTTGTAATATTTATGAGTGTTTCTTTTTTTTTTTTCAGACGAACTGTGCAGCAGTATTGTGCGTTCCCACAGAGAGACCAGCCAGTACAGAACGGAGGAGCTGCTGGCTCTTCGATGGAAACTGTTTAGCAGAGAGGAGATCCAGGCCTACCAGAGCAAAGTATGCCCACCTTTCCTCTTCTTGTATTTATGTTCACAGACTCAGACAGTCTCAAAACAAAACATGCCATTTAGGTGGAAACTTGTTTGATCATTTCCACATCCTCTTCCTCTTTGAACACACAGCGTTTAGTTTCAAGTGAATGATTTCGTTGCATCTTTATCAGTGGGGCATATGTTATGTTAATTGTTATAACACAGTAAACAAAGTGATAAAATATGACAACTTTATATTATGAATTAGAAGAAAAAAGAAAAGAGACAGAATGGTTGGGAGTGAAAGGTGAATTTGATCATTTGGTTGATTTGAATGTTATGCTGTGAGAAATAAACTCAACCTACTACCCTTCTCCTTTCCATTTTTTCTCGGTCCTATTCCCAGTCAGTGGATGAAATGTGGCAGCACTGTGCCATTCGACTGACTGATGCTGTGCAGTATGTGGTGGAGTTCGCAAAGCACATCCCGGGTTTCCGTATACTCAGCCAGAATGACCAGATTGCGCTTCTCAAAACTGGTGAGGCTACCTGTCACTCTCAAGGCAGAATCACAATCGAATACGTGTGAATTTCTTAATCTCTTTTCTCTCTTGCCCTTCTTCTCTTCTGTTCCTTTGTCACTCAGGCTCCATGGAGGTGGTTCTGGTCAGGATGAGTCGGCTCTTTAACAGAGAGAACAACACTGTCTTCTTTGATGGGAAATTTGCTGGAACTGAAGTCTTTAAGTCTTTGGGTGAGGACTTTGGTAAATATGAAAACCCAGTAATGCATTGATCACAGTGCATGAATATGGTGGCAATGCTGTCTGGTGTCTTTTCTTGCAGCATGTGGTGACTTAATCACAGCGGTGTTTGATTTTGCTCATGGTATGTGTGCTCTAAAGCTTACCGAGCAGCAGATCGCTCTCTTCACTGCTCTGGTGCTGATCAACGCAGGTAAGATCAGCTCATGTATCTCTTAGTCATGTTGCTTTTCCTTGTTCAACTCTACATTTTTAGATTTGCATTGATAATCATTTATGGCTATAGATAGTGAGTCTATCATATTCATCTTTCAGCCCAAGAAGTTAACATTTTGGAATGATAGTTTATTAATTTTGATCCAAATTTAGCTGATGACAGGCATATTTTTGTCAGTGTTATGTCTAGATAAATGTTTCAGTTTGTAACAGCATTTAATTCATGTCCAGACAATTCCTGAAATATTCACATTTTTAAAGACACTTTTCAAACTGAATCAAAACTAAACATCTCATTTCATATCATCTTTTAAAGCTACTCTGCCTAATTTCTTTTCAGCCCCTAGTGAGACTCAAAACAAAGTGACACCAGAAACTGCTCCTAACCACTTGTTGCCCCTGCCTGGCAATTAGAGATGCCTGGTTGCAACAGACTGTACAAAATGCAGCCTTGAGCTACTGTTAGCTGCCTATAGTTGAAACCAGTTGAATGCTCTGGTTACTGCTAATGTGATACAAAGCACTAATGTTGCACAAAGGTCGAATTGCTCTAAAATTAAAATCATATTAATTTAATACAAAAATCATGATGATGCCACATCCAATTCAAATTTGAAGCTTTTGGTTTTTAACGCTTTACATCACAAAAACCTAAACTGATCATAGCCCTTGTTTTTGCTCTTTTTTGACATTTTGCCTTGTGGTTTTCATCATTCGTTCAAATATGCATTCCCTGTCCCCAGTGGCTGTTAGTAAACACTGTCATACAAACAGACAGGACACCGTACCAGGATTATTGACACATAAAGTAATGCGAGTTCATGGCAAGGTGTAAATAAATAAATGCTTCATTCTCTCTTGCAGACCGTCCATGTCTAGAGGATAGAGGCAGGGTTCAGCGAGTGCAAAGAAGTGTAGAGTTAGGACTTGCACACATTCTACACCGAGACAACCAAGACAGTCTAATGCACAAGGTACATGCTCAGTCATCTCTTTTGTTAAAAGCTGAATGAAAGGCTTGCATATTCGCTCTTTCATCTACACAAATGTACATACCCTCACACACAGTAGAAAGTGGATGTGAATGTCTCTGTGTGCTCCCTGCAGCTGTACCAAAGGATGTCAGTGTTGCGTTCCCTGTGCGGCCTGCACATGGAGAAGCTCCGCTGGTTCAGTCAGCGATACCCACTCACTGCTCACTCCCTCTTCCCACCGCTCTACAAGGAGCTGTTCACCTCCGAGGCAGAGCTGCTGCCGGGGGCTGCACACTGATGACTCCTTATAATATGCAAACATGCACACATACATAGATGCATGTTATTACAAGTCTCATCCTCTTTTTCTGACAGAATATATTTTTCTAATAAGGAAAATAAATGAGGAAAGCAGAGTGATCGTAGCATGTTCAGTATTACATGAATTCTAGCAGGTTTTTGTAATATATTTTGTCAAATGTTAACTTCAGTATTTTCATAGCTTAAAACTATTTATGTAATTATTCCAGGGAAATGTGTTTTTATTTTCTTATGTTTGAAGACATTGTCAGTGGGGTACAGGATTCATGTTCTCTCAGGTTGTACTGTTGATTCTGTCCAGTTGCTGTGTGTCACAGTATGTTTAGATATGGAGTTTCAAAGAGGCAGGACACCAGTCGTTGTCAACTTAAACTTGAAAATGGTCAAAATCTAGACAAAAAGTCAAGCAAACCTCTAACAGGTTAAAACAAAGGAATAGGGCAGGTAATAACAAATGCCCATGCAAAGCTAAAACTCCAAGAAGCTTAAGGTATCACATGGCTCTCCTTCAGCAGCTACTGTCCCACTTCAGGGCCAAAGTAACGCTATCAACAAATAAAATAATAATATACTGGTACAGCATTCATTAGTATGGTCAAAATGGAGCCACCTGCTCACACTCAGTGTTCACACTTCAAAGGGTGGATTTTGGCTGCAGATATTGTTTTAACACAAACAACACTGAACATGGGGAAGTTATTTTATTTTTATGCAATCATATGTATTGCACTCATGATTCAGAGTGACAGCCAGTGGTTCCCATAGTAACTGTGCCAGTCTTTCAGGCTGCACCCATAACAAATCACAAGGACTGTCTGACATCAGTTCAGCACCACTGTTGGATTATATTATTGCAGTAATGCTAGATATTTTACAAAACAAGTATTTCTTACAAAATATGAAAAACTGAAAAAGATCAGATTCTTCCCTGTTGTCTTTCTTATGTTGACAGCCTCAGAAAGCAAACTGCCCAGAGCTGAATGTGTCAGTGACATAGTCAATATTAAACATACCTGAAAGTATAAGGAATAACCTGCCTATTTGTACTGTATCTGTATGCCCATAGAGAGAAGTGTTTGTCCTCAGGCTGATGTCACAGACTGACTAACAAGTCCTTCAAATCAACAGTACCTCTGAAATGTTATCCTTTGTGTTTGCATAAATCCTTACAGACTTTTCTATCTCTCAAGCTTTGAAAAGATGTGGCATTAAATGTAGAAAACATATTCAATTAAAAATGTGGAGATAAAGTAAAAGTCTCTTCCTTTGTGTGCATACCTTTCCTTTGTACAGCTAAACTTGCATCTGCTTTGTTTTCTGTATCTTTAAACCAAATCACAAGAAAAAAGGAAATGATGAGACCTTTTAGCATTAAGGTCAGATGTAGTCCTCTCAGTTCCTGGAACCACTGAGATTGTGATGAAACCTCAAATAAACTGCTGAGGCTGACACAAAGCAGATGTGGTAACTGTGTGTGTTTGTGAAAGAGAGTTGTAATACAAACAGACAGACATGCAAAAAAAAATCATCTTGTGGTTTAATAAAAAAGTCCTTATTAGCTCAATAAAAACCACAGTTTATTCATAGCAGTGAAGTGAAAAGCATGATTGTTATTTATGTGCAGATAGATGTAGTCTGAGCACCACTGTGGAGCTGCAACTGCAGCATTTAAGACAAAGGAAATATTAGTCATTTTGTGCGACCCTACAGTAGACGGGGACATTATCTTGTGGTAAGTTGTCATAGACAAAAACAGTTGCTAACCAAGTTAAGAGGAAGCAAAATAAAATGAGTCAACTGCATGTGGTAAATATGAATTATTCCTGCAAAAAAGCACAAAGATTGTACAATAAATGTACCTCCAGTCACTGGTTTCATCTCTTTCTGTGTGTAGGTTTCAGCTGAAATGCATCTTAATAAACAACTGTCATACTGTATATATAGTGATTTTTGCTTTCATATTTCAGTTTGGTTTGGCAAGATGCTAGGTAAGCAATTTTTGGTTCTCATGCTGAATGTGGAACAACAAAGTACAGCTTTCTGTTTGGGTTTGTTTGCCATTTTTTGTTTTCTGCCCTGTCAGGGGAATTTTCTCCCTCAGTTCCCATCTCTGAGCACCACCAACTTAAACTTTGACCTTGATACTTCCTGTATATATGGTGGGAAAGTGTTTGTGGGCAGAGCAGCAAAGGCAGGATAATCCTTCCACTTAAACCTGTATAGAGAGGTTTAATCTCTATATAGAGATGAACAACACAAAATCACAAACATGGTGTTGTTTCATAAAATAAAATCACAACCCATATTCATCCCATTGAATATTTTCAGTGTTTTACTAAAAAACAAACAAAAGGGGCATATCAGTAAATTTACACACATCACGATCAGTTTACCCATCACAGACTTAGCACAGGAGGTTTGAAATAAAAAGGCATTTACCAGGCAGGGAGCATCATCTAAAAGATAAGCAGTTGAGTTGAGTTCCTGTCTTTTCCTGATCTTTACATCTGTGGCTGTGCTGCTTCGATTCAAATTATTCTTTTTCAAAACTGTAACTTTACAGTCCACCATTGAAATGCAACATGAAGCCCATCAATCATCTGTGTAGACAGAAATTGTGATTCACAAAGTTTTTCAATACATAAATGTTTGTAAATATTGGCTTTAAGGTCAAGTAAATATCTGTATCTCATATGTGGTAAATGGTAGCAGCCTTATTATATTTTATTTTATTGGTTTGATCATTGAAAAAATACGGGAGTATTAGGGCCACTGCATAATTTTTTTTTTTTTAATTCTGACTTTATTCTCGGAATTCTGACTTTAATCTCAGAAGTATGGGTACCTGTAGGGATCCAAGTTCAGTGAGTGCCTTTGAGTCATGCTGGAGAGGAGCTACGTGCTGCCCAGAAAATGTCGGATTTAAGTGAATTTTTGCGTGGTCGAGGAGTCCCAGAAGAAGCTATTTCATTAATGGAAGAGGAAAAGGTGAGTAAAAAGACACATGTGTTACTTTACTGTCTGGCGTTTGTAAAAACACAGAAAATGTTATGGATATGAAGAGTGATAAACGCAGACACAGGTTAGCGTCTGTTAGCTAACATTAGTAGAAATGCAAAATGTTGCTTTACACTATATGCCATTGCTGGGTTTAATCCAAGTTCAGGTCTTTATAAAGTTTGGATAGTTAATGGTGACTGCTAAGATACCACTTCACAGTTATTTAAACTAAACATAAAGTGTATTTAGTGTGTCAAAGTGTTTTTAGAAAATGCTGAAGCTGTTATGTTTTCTCAAATGTCATTGTCATGTTAACATGTCTTATTATCCATCAAATTTGATGTTCATTAATATTTGGCTTTATTCTATGCCATGTTTAATGTTAATAAAATGTTACTTCATCCACCACATTTGTATTCAGGTCTTCAGGTTGAATGTTGATCTATTGTTGACCCAGCTTCCTATCTATATGGGTAAACAAGCTATAAAATGCAGTTGTTCAAAAATATAAAGCATTTAATAGTCATTCATATTGGACACAAATGTGAGAAAGTCAACTGGCATAAAAAAACAACTGAAAAAAGTTTATCAGTACATGAGTGAAATGCACACTGCAGTGCATGCCATGGGCAGGCTTTGACATTACCAATGTCTCAAAATGGTTGTTACATTTTAATACTCATGAATAACTACACTGATGAATAAACTATAGATTCCACTACTGTGGCCACCACAGCAGAACACTGTTCTGTGAAGATTTGTTTATATGCACTTATCTCGATCCAAAGGCACTCACTGAACTTGGATCCCTACAGGTACCCATACTTCTGAGATTAAAGTCAGAATTCTGAGAATAAAGTCAGAATTAAAAAAAAAAAAAAATTATGCAGTGGCCCTAATACTCTTCCGTAATATGCAGTGGCCCTAATACTCTTCCGTAATTTACTAACTGTTACACTATGTGACAGATACTATGGTGTAATTAGTAAGTATTTCAGCAAGACTGCTGATTGACTCAGCTCACCGGTGAGTGTTAATCAATTGCTTAATTGTAGTCAAATAAGTGATGAGCAACAGTCAACCGGAATACACCAAAACTAAAACTTAAATTTGAGATCATGCTCATACACGGATCCCTTATGAGTCATGTTGAAAACATTCCTCCCCTCCCTGTTTTCCTTACTCCGCCTCAGCCCTCCTGATTACACACCGTATCTATAAAGACGGCGTGTCCGGTCGCTCACAGCCAAACATCAGACGGGCTTTGCTGACCTGTCTGTGAGTGGTTTCCTGGTTGGCCCCTGCTCACTCCACCGGGTCGGTCGCTCCGCAGCACCAGCACCAGCACCAGCACCGACACGAACAAGTCCGCAATGGGCTCGTCCTGGGCTTTGGTCTGCTCCGCCGCATTAGCCTTGGTTTTACTGGGCTCAGCATCCAGTGGTTGGTTCTGCTGTTTTCCCTTTTGTGTATTTGATAGCATGCCAGAAAATGTTGTTTGCTTTTTGGCTTATGGTCGGGCTCCATCTTTGTTCGACTTGTTTCGCCTGTAAACAAACTGACACTAATCATGCAAATACACTTTAAAGAACTTTTAAATGCCCTCTGTAGTGAAATGTATCTGAGTAACCCTACAATTATGTGTAGTCTAATTTATTTAAATACTAGTGCTCATGCGTCACTACATTTCAGAGGTAAATATTGTTCATTTATTTGATAGCTGGTTACTTTACAGGTTATGTTTATGTATATGAAGTAAGGCGTTGTTAGATTAAACTAACAAAAAGCTGCAACACTATGTGTAATATTTGATAATACCACACTGACATTCAGTTTTACTCATGAAGTTCGGTTTGTTCATCAATAGTGCTACCTAACCTTTGAAAATGGTCTTATTATGGTTTCTAAGGCCCTAATGGATGACTTCCAAGATTTATTTTAAGAACGTAATCACTAGAGTATCCTCATGATTAGGTGGTTTTATTTTTAGATTTTTATGGGATATCCTAGCTCATGATTATATTTAATATAAATCAAGTACAGAAATGTGGCATAACATTGTCTTTCTTTCTGGATGGTACCTTTTTAATATAAAAAAGTCTTTAGCATAGTTTTTGTAAATCATTGTTTTTAAATCAATATTTATCTTTCAGAGATACAACCACCAGAGGATCTCATGATGCAGAGAGAGGTGGACATGACCGATATCATCAAGGGTGCTGAAGATTTTAATTTTTGTTTTAACTTAACTTTGCAGCTGCATTTGCACTTGATATATGGCACTTTGGCTGCTCAGATTTGTCTGTCTCATTTGCTTCTTTTCTTTCTCATTTTTGTATTTCTACAGATCTATTAATGCAGGCACCAGAAGACACCCTGACTGAGAGAGGTAAGCTAGTATCTGTCCGTCTGTCTCTGTGTCTATCATCTTGTCTTCTCATTTCACCAAATCCTCTCCAGGTATAGAAAGAAATATGTTTAATAATACCATCTTTATTTTGTCAGAGAGCTCCAAACCAGACGTCTTGACACCAAGAGGACGTATGTAATTTTTTTTTCTCTCTGTAATTTGCGTTTTCATTTACTTCATCTGTACTATCTACTATTATAAAAGAAGCAATTAATAGTATGATTACCAACCTTTCCTCTTAGGTAAACCAGGTTTTTACCCCCATTCCTTTGGTGGCCCTTCTGAGGCCTATCCTGTTCAGTTTCCCCTTGGCCGGCCGACCTCCGACAATCTCCAAGCCATCTGTTTCTACAGAGACCGTCGTCCTCGATACCCAGATTCTTACTTTCCTGGCACTGGTTTTAGTGGTCAGATGCGAAAGGGCAGTGCTGTCAATAATGCAGAGTTGTGGTTTGGCACATGCTGCAAAGGGAACCAGACATGGGAGAGAGAAGTGATGCTGTGTTGCGCCACACGTGCGGTAAGTTTTCACAAACAGCTTCTACAACCGATTCAGCAATTTCTTATTCTGTAAATGTTAAATGACTGTATGGTATCGTGCCTCTCCTTGACCTAATTTTTACTTCTTTTGGTTTATTTCATATTGTTGATGTTTTTGCTGTCAGCATTTTACAGTGGTGTTTTTGCACTTTTCTCAGCACGCATTCAACAAATAATGCAACATGATAACAGACATGCACTGTGGTTATAAAACTGGATCCCACACCAATATGATTTCATATTAAAAAGCAAGATCGAATTAATGTTATCCATTTAATCTCTCACCTAGTAGAAGGTTTTTATAGACAATGTTTAACTGTAGATTCTCATTAATTCAGTTCCTGAAGGTGTAATTTTTTTTAATTTATTTAACCTTTATTTTACCAGGAAGTCCCACTGAAATCAAGATCTCTTTTTCAAGGGAGACCTGGCCAAGATAGCAGCTATACAAATGCACAACATATTAAAATTAAACACATACAAAAAAATCCACAAGATAAAAACAATGGACTCTCAAGAAAAACAGCCACATCTCTTTCATCACATTCTTTATGATGTCCATAAATTCTACAGTGGATGTCAATATGTCTAACCTTAGATCGTTCTACAAGTTAGTCCATGAATGTAGTGGGCCTAGTGTCATATACTCAGTCTTGCATACCAAAAATGGTGCCTTTTCTCTGAATGTTTTTGTTTTGCCCTAGATATTGAAAAGGGCATGAAACATTCTTGACATTGCAGGGGGTGATGATACTTGTATTTGTAAAGCAAAGTTGAAGACCTTGAGCTCTTCCAGTTGATAAGCACATACGCAGACCAGCCAGACATAACAGACAGGTCTAGGCATGAGCAACAGTGAAGCTGTTGAAGGGCAGCCAACAAACCCATCCCATATCTTTCACTGTATAAAGAATTAGCTTAATCTGAACGGCTCCCTTTTGCTGTTTTTTTTTTCTGGTTAAGTGTGTCTTAAGGTACACTAGATCACTGTACACTGAAAGGATTTATATCATGCACCCTCACAGTAAATGACAGTCGAATGGCTCTGTCTCTTTGTCTACTACAGTGGGAGCTCTCAATCAAATCCTTCTGTGATGAGGAATTTTCCATAAAGACTAGACATTATCACTGCTGCAAACAAAATGGCAGAGACCGGCTAAACTGCTTCCACAACAATGCTCCAAACCCAAACTACGAGCCAACAGAGGAGATCCCAGTGACACCTCTTAGCTATACTACTGAATTCAACTTTGACCCCAACACTTGTCCAAGGTATTGTATGAAGAAAAGTAAAATCAGCATAAATGATATGTCTGGCAAAACTCAAATCCAGTGAAAACTGACAATAAACTGATCCTAATGATGAGTACTGTCTAGTATATTCCTGGGCAGTGGTTAGCGATATTGCTTTACAGCAAGATGGTTCCGGGTTTGAGCCCCAGCCTCTCTGTGTGGAGTTTCCCTGTTCTCCCTGTGCCTACATGGGTTCTCTCCGGGTACTCCGGTTTCCTCCCACAGTCTAAAGACATGCAGCTTAGGTTCAGAATCAGTTTTATTGGCCAGGTGTGATGGACACACGAGGAATTTGACTCTGGTACATTGGTTCTCAATGTGCAAACAGTAACCAGCATGTGGCTCTGTAATATAACAAAATAAGCAGGATTAACGTCAACAAACAGTGCAAACAATGCAGAATAAGCAGTATAAACAGATGGTAAACAATGCAGACAACAAAGGAATGTTCGTTGAAATGAGATAAATAGGGATAAGGGATAAAGACAGAGTACTTAAAACTAGAGACCTGTACGAGTCTGTACAATGTACACTGCTCAAAAAAATAAAGGGAACACAAAAATAAGACATTCAACTATGTTGTATTCCCTTTATTTTTTAAGCAGTGTGTATATATACATACAGGTATTGCACTGAGGGTTATTGTCCAATCACGCTGTTGTTGGTTAATTGTTCATCAGAGTAACAGCCTAGGGGATGAAACTGTCTCTGTGCCTGGTTGTCTTAGTGCACAGTGACCTGTAGCGCCGTCCAGAGGGTAGGAGTTCAAACAGATTGTGTCCGGGGTGTGAGGGGTCTGCAGTGATCCTCTCCGCCCTCCTTTTGACGCATATTACAAAACACTGTTTTAAGTGTTTTATAGAGGCTGAAGAAGTTTGTTGTTGACCTTACCATGTGATTCATACTTTACAGGACTGTAATGACTTCATCTATTGTCAGTGGACAAAAAAATGAGAGGAAACCATCTACTTCCCAGAACACTTTCAACTTTCCTCCTGGACGACCCACCACAGATACCATTGAACCACTGTGCCACAATCAGAAGTTACGCCCCCTTTATAATGTCAAGTGCCTTCCAAGCTCAGGCTATGAATTGCTGGCTCGTCAGGCAAAGACTATTAATCGTTTGGAAAAGGGATTCAGACAGTGCTGCAAAAAGCCGGATGTGCTCAGCTGTGCTGATCAGAAGGTAAAGCAAGTATCCCACGAACAGTAATATTTTGCTTAGTTTAGTCATATTTGACTTACTGATGTATTTCTTTTGTATTTTAGTGGCGTGCGGAGCTTGACAGGTTTTGCTTGGATAAGAAGAGCAGACAAGTGGATTTCCACTGTTGTTCACTTGATGAGGCAAATGCTCGATACAGCTGTTTCCAACACATTTCCCCTGACCCACATTACAATATGACTTCTGCTACTGAAGAGCCCTCAGTTCACCAAATCTGTGACACTCACAGGATCATCCAGAAAAAGTAAGACAGTGCATCTTAGATCTTTCTCATTCCAGAACCATTTCTTCCTACAGGCAATATACTGTAAGCAATGGCATAGGGCGCCAAACCACCAGGGGGCCTCATGCGTTTGTTTTTAAGGGACAAAGTCCTGGTCCAGTCATTAGTCCAGTGCAGGGCTTCAGACTTATGAGTGATCAGTTACAATATACGGCCAGTTTTATTAAAGGCAAAACTGAATTTTTTTTCAAAGCTTTCACTGGGTGTGACTGCAAAATAAATGATGGTTAAAAAAAATGCGACTGTCCTAACATCACTGGACAGATGTAGCGGTGGCAAATAGGCAAGCAAACCATGTCTGCCATGTTGTCATAGCAACGTTAGTTCACAGTCACTTGCTATCTCATGGAACAAACATACTTCCTATCTGTTAGATATATTGGTCCACACACTGACTGAGACACAAGAAGTGTGTCCTGGTTGCGTTTTAACCCTATAAGTCTATATGACTTCAAATACAGCAACAGACTCTATTACGCTGTGTGGATTGAAATAATATGATAAAGGCACATTGTTGGTTTTGAATAAAGATGTTCAGCATTTCTCTATTACCTAAAACGTATACTAAAATACTTTTCAATAGCACCTAAAACACACAGAGAACAAAATTTATCAAGACAAGAACAATGTCAGGGCCAGAGTTGGATTGGACATTATGATGTAGTTTTGCAAACAGTTTATTGAAAATAGTTATTTGCTATTTACTTATTGTGTTTTATTAGCAAATTAAAGTTAACATGGCCCAAGGGATTGGGAGGTGTGTGGGCTAAGATCTCGCTT